TACTTGGGACGCCCACGCTTAAAGAATGCAACAACAACGACCTAGTCTAGGACTACCGAGTCAACATCACATATGACAACGAATTCGGCTGCAAGTCTCATGATGGCACCGTGCTCGTCATCGCCACACTCAACGCTCTAACCACGACCTATTAACTCAACCAGAACTAGCGTCACGACCAGCACACAAGTGGCGTATCCTTGCCCACGTTCATCGACAACTCAACCGGCTGCACGGACAGCGGCTCGGGCTCGATGCTGTAGTAGCCACGCCCGGAGGCGCCGTCGCGGTGCTCCTTGCCCGGCCGAGGGCCCGTCGGCGTCGGCGCCGCCTCGAAGCCGTCGTCGACGAGGCCGGGCACGAGCGTCTCGTCGTCCGAGAGGCGGCAGTCGCGGCCGCGCACGGCGACATTCACCGAGAGCGGCGGCGCGTCCAGCGTGACCTCGGCGTAGCCGCCCTGCGTGAGCGCCGCCTCGAGCTGGGGAGGCACTTGCCCCGACTCAAAGGAGAGCGAGTGGTAGAACGCCTCCGTCCCGTTGGCGATGCCCTTGCCGGGGTTGATGTTGTCGGTGATCATGCACGGGGCGCCAGCGACAAAGTACTCCCAGAGGCCCGGCTCGTGGGAGCGCGCCGAGGCGAGGTGCGCCGCGTCGATGGTCTCGGCCTGCTTGCCGCGCAGCGTGGTGGGCCACCGCACGAACAGGGAGCCGGTCGCGCGGGCGAGCGCCCTGCCCCTCAGGTCGTTGAAGAAGTCGCGCTTGTACTTTGTCAGCACCATCAGCGGCGCCGCCAGCCACGAGGGGTCCTCCTGCACATCGGCGGGGCTGATGTCGCGGAGGTCGTCCACGAGCCGGCTCGGGACCGGCTGCTCCACAGTCGTGCGGCGCATCTGGCCCAGGTCCGCCGCAAAGCGCTGGTCGCCAGCCGCGCGCATCGAGCGCTCGAGGCGCAGCCGCTGGAAGAGGCGGAAGAGGTCGACGCCGTCCTCCACGTCAACCTCGTCGCCGTTGCGGGCGGGGAGAGCGGGCCTGGCCATGCCCCCGACGTCGCGATCGACGAGGTCCTTGTACATGGCGGTCGCCCTGCACGGCGATAGCTGCCACATGTCGGCGCCCATGAGCACGGGCAGGCCGCCAAAGGGCTCGGTCTTGCACGCGTCGTCCAGGCAGCCGAAGAGAAGCCTCAGCCGCTTGTCGACGATCTTGAAGAAGCCCTCGCCGAGGAAGGAGCCCTCCTCGATGAAGAGGAGGCCAATCTCGTCGGGGTCGCCGATGAGCCCCTCGAGCTTCTGCCGGGCAGAATTGGGGTCGATGGCCGTGCCGCCGCCCTTCCGCTTGGCGTTGAGCCCGCAGAGCGAGTGCAGCGTGACGCCGCGGTGCGGCGCCACCGACACGCCCGTGTACCCCGTCTTGAGGATCCGCCCGAGATGGAAGCGCGCCATCAGCGCCTCGAGCGCCTCCACCACGGCCGACTTGCCGGTGCCGCCCTGCCCCTGCAGCAGAATGTAGAACGAGAGATTGGCTGCGCGGACCAGCTGCCTCGCCTCGGCGCGGCTGCGGCCAGAGTCGAGATGCTGCCTCCGCAGCCGCAGAGTCGACAGGATCGTGTGCAGCGCCGACCGCTGCTCGGGGTTGAGCGGCCGCATCGGCGGCGGCTGCGGCGCGCCGGGCTGGGGCGGATCGTAGAGAGCCTTCCACCCCGCCTTCTCCCGGTCAAAGTCGCCCCACGCCAGTTCGTCCAGCTCCGGCGGCGGCCACACAGGCGCGTCGCCGCCGCCACCGCCGCCACCGCCGCCGCCGCCGCCACCGCCGCCCCACCCCGCTGCCTGGCCCGGGCCGTCTGGCTCAGCGCCCCCCCCCGCCCCTGCATCCGCCGCTGGCTCCCGCTGCTTGAGGCGCTCCCGCAGCGCCTCGATGGGTCTCGTGGGCGCGGGGACGTGCAGCGCCCCCCCGCGGCGCAGCCACGTCGACCGGTGGAGCTGCGGCGGCACCGCCGCCGCAGCGCCGGGCGCGGCGTCGCCAATGGGGCACAGCCGGCTCATGGCAGCTCCGAGGAGCTTGGCCGCGCCCTCCCGCTTCGACGCCGCCGCCAACCGCTTGTCGCGCTCGTCGGCGCGCAGGCCAGCCGCCGCCACGCGAGACGACGTCTCCCGGATCGCCGCTGCAGTCTCGGCGTCAACCTGGCCGTTTGCTGCCGCCGTCAGATCGTCGGCGGCCGCGGCCGCATCGGCGCCGCGCATCTCCCTCCAGATCTGGCCGCTGCGGTTGCGAAACTTTTGCGCCATCGCTCCGAGCTGCGAGTCGACACGGAGCGAGTTCATGACCGTGTCGATGAGGAAGAGGCGGCCGGCGGCCAGCTGGCGCGCAAAGGCCGCGTCGGCGTCGCCCTCGCCGGGCGGTGCGCTCGCCGCCCGCTGCAGCGCGGCGACGTAGGCGTCCCACTCCGCCACGGGCCCGCCGGCCGCGGTGGCGCCGGCGGGCACGGACTGGCCCCACGGCTTGAAGAGCCCCAGGTAGTACTCGGCAAAGACGCGCGCCTGCTTGTTCCAGGACCGCGTGGGCTGCCGGCCACCGAGCTCGGGCGGCGCCCTCGGCGGAGGCTTGCCCGCCAGGACGGGCATCAGAAACTTGGAGCGCGCCAGCAGCCGGTGCGTCGCGGAGAGCGCGTGCTCGTCCAGCAGCCGAAAGAGCTCGTTGCCGTGCCGACCCGCGCCCCCCGCACGCGCCTGCGGAGCGGCGGGAGGGGTCCTCG